CAGTAGAAGGAATAGTATTAATAATGAACAATTAATAAATAATGATAATAGTAATAATATTATTATTAGTGGTGGTAGAAGTAGTAGTATTAATAATGAACTATTGGTAAATAATGACAATGATAATAATCATAGCATTAATGATGAATTATTAGTAAATAATGATAATGATAATAATCATAATAATAATATTAACAGCAATAGCATTAACGATGAACTATTAATAAATAATGATAATGGTAATAATAATATTATTAGTAGTACATGTAGTAGTGAACCGTTAGTAAATTATAATAATGGTAGTAATAATTTTATTATTAACAACGAACCATTAGTGAATAATAATTATAACACTAGTGATAATAATTATGATAATAGTGAACTAGGAAGTAATAATCATGGTGAACCTTTTTATAACAATGGAAGTAATTTTGAATGGACAAATGATGATGATTTTTTGAATGACAATTATCAAAATAATATAGATACAACTACTATTTCATCCAATAGTTTCAATAATGCTAATTCACATTCTTGTCCAATTTCAACTAGCTCAAATAATAGTAAAATCATTCAAAAAAGATCTGTTCATATTGTTAGTTGGACACATAAGTATTTTGAAAAGAACAATAATAATAGAACATGTAGGATTTGTAAAAAAATTTATTCATTAACTACCAATACCAACAAACTTTCTGCACATCTAAGAGATGTTCATGATTTATCTAAAAATGGTTTGAAAAAACCAAATGAACCACAATCAAGTAAACAACAATTGAGTTTAGATGAGTGTATTAGAAATAATATACAGCCATTATATAAAATTTCACAAAATGATATAAATGATCATCTGACTAACTGGATTGTGAACAAAATGTTACCTTTTTCAGTAGTTAAAAGTGAAAATTTTAAAAAACTATGTTATAAATTAAACAAAAAATACAAAGTTCCTTCAATTTCAGCTGTAAAATCAAAAATATTAGATAATGTAAAAAATGTAGAATGTCAGCTAAAACTTTTATTGGAAAAGACTTCAATTTCTTTAAGCTTCACCACTGATGAATGGACACAATTCCACATACCTTTTATTGGCATAACAATACACTGGTTAGATGAAAACTATAAATTAAAAGAAGCATTATTAACAATTGAAGCATTTTCATATCCTCATACTGGTAATAACATTGCTTCTAAACTTAATGAAGTTTTTAACAAGTGGGATTTACAGGATAAGATTTTAGCTGGTGTAACTGATAATGCTTCCCTATAGAAAATTTATGTACGGAATATGTACGGAACTGCGGATGTGTAAGGAAAATCTTGTAAAATGTAAGGAAAAATGCATTTTTCCCTACATGAAAAAAATTACAGAATGTAAGGAAAAATGCATTTTTCCTTACATTTTACAAGATTTTCCTTACACATCTGCAGTTCCGTACATATTCCGTACATAAATTTTCTATAGGGCTTCTAATGTAATATTAGCTATGAGTTTGCTTACAGATATTATACATATAATATATGGTGCTCATACTATTCAACTTGCTGTTAAAAAGGGACTTAGTCGTATTGAAGATACTTTACTTGAGAGGGCTTTAAAACTTAACAAATGGTTGTTAAATCGTGACAAACACCATGAACGTTTACATAAAATGCAAAAGGAAATTTTACAACAAAATATAAGCAATCCTTTATCACTAAATCACGAAAATTCAGATTCAGAAACAGATTTGGATCTAGATATCAATTCAGAAAATGAATCTCATTTTTCGGAATTTTCAGCATTTAATAATAATAATACACAAGCGTTAAATCCTATTAGAAATGTTGTCACCAGATGGAACAACACTTATTTTGTTCTTGAACGATTGGAAAAGTTACATGAATCAATTGAATTGTTGATTAGAAATTTAAAAAATGATAACAATAGAGATTATAGGAATGATGGTAGAGACTTGGAAGAGCTTTTTTTGACAGCTAATGAATGGATAGGTATTAAGGAATTGGTGAGAGTTCTAAAACCATTTGTTGATGCTACTAAAATAATAAGTGGTAGTTCCTACCCAACATAGAATATTATTTATCCAATAATTAATAATTTGGTTAAAAAATTAAATCATGAATTAACACAAATAACAATTGATGAGAACAAAGTTATAACAAACACAATTTTAGATCAAATTAATTATCGATGGTGTGATCCTGGCATCACTGCACTAACAGCGACATTTTTAGATCCAAGATTTAAAGACTTGGACTTTTTAAACAATGATAAAAAAAACAAGGTATATAATTTTGTGTGTAATTCAATTTTGGAATTTATTGAAAAGAACAATCCTAATTCTAATGAAATAGAGGAAATTTCTGGCACTTCTCACAAGTCAGTTTTATCATTGTTTTTTGATGATAATCAAACCAAAGGTAAATAAGTAGTTTTTTTGATATCAAGCAGTTGTCAATTTTATTAACAAATTTTTATTTCAATTGTGCTTAATATTAGATACTATAAACATGTACAACAAA